TGCTGAGCTATGCTGGCACCCTTTGGGGTGGCCAGGCTGAGTGCAGGACAAAGGGAGGAGCATCAGTGAGTGAGCTCTTGCCTGGCCTCCAACCAGGAGGTACCACTTGTGCATGCTTGTGGTCATCCTGAGGTAGGATTTGGAGGAGTGCACACCACAGTCTGGCTCTTCCTAGGCTGCACAGTCTCCAAACCATGATGGCTTATACTGGCTCAGTTTCCATGTCCAGCAGGAGCTGCTGGCTGGAGGCAGTGCCACAGGCTGTGGGAACAGCACTCTCCAGTTCACCTCCCCAGTGGCTGCCAGTGCTTCCATCCAACCGCATGCAGTTCACTACCAGTGTGGACCTCCATAGCACCCTGGCAGTGTCTCCAGGGGCAGAATGTGCCTCGCTGGGCAGAAGATGTGGGACTTTCTTTGCCTGCCTATGTAGTGTCTTCCAGCTCCTCCCTGCCTGCGCATGGTTATCACCTCCTGAGGCAGTGTTTTTTCCTAAGCTGGAGGCTCTACTCTATCAGGTCTGTGCTTAGAGAAGATATGTTGGTCCTGGACGTGAGGAGAGTGCTCTAGAGCACTGCAGTAACCAGCTGTGCAGCACATACTATCCCTTGGCTGTGGGAGGAGCAGAGCTTGGTGGCCTCCCATGTCCCCAGGTACAGAAGAGCTGCTCTTCAGACATCTATGGAGGGTGTCCCAGCTGCCACAGAGGAGAACCATGCTGTCCAGCCTGCAAGACCTACCTCCACAGCACCCACTGCAGAGGACAGGGGGGATGTTTTCAGTGTGAAGCATCTGCAGACCTGTCCTCATCCCAGAGCTGCACTGGCAAGAGACATGGAGGACAGACGGGCAGTGAGAAGCCCCATGAAGAAGTGAGATTCTGCTGAGAAGAAGCAGCTGTGCTTACCCAGCGTGGCTTCCTCGTGGAACAACTTCACAGGTTTCCATCTCTGTCTGCATTAGATGTGTACACATGGCTGGATTGGGCTCACATGCTGTGCTCCCTTGGTGGAGATGTTCTGCAGGAAGGAGTCCTCTTGTATCAGAGCACATTCACTCACAGTACTCACCAAGCCAGAAGCAGGTGCTGCAGGGGGCCCACAGGAGTGCCTGGACACCTCTGGCTACTGCAGGCCATGTTGGCTAGGAGAAACACCATGCAGGTATGTGGATTTGGTAACCTGAGCATGTTGGAAGACTTAGGCCAGCTGAACAGCTTTGCAGAATGGAGGAGTTGATGACTGTGTGGTGGCACCAGAGCCAGGCACCCTTGGCAGTATGCTGCTGGGGGCAGCCAGGTGGCTTTAATTGGCTGAAGTGACAACATATCTTGTGTTTGCTTGTCCAGTATGGGGCTGAGCAGACTGTAGCAGAGCAAGGAGTGGGTGCACAGCCAGCCAGCAGGCTGTCCTTGCAGTGAGCATGCGGGACAGGCTGTATATACACACACAGGCATAATGCAGCCCCTTGTTTCTCCAGTGAAGACCACTGCTTGCATCTAGCAGGCAAGCAGTTCCTAGTAGCTGCACTACCTCTGTTGGATATACAATGCCTTTTGTGCCCAATCTGTCTCATCTCTTGCAGCGTGTGATGCAGAGGGTCAGAAAGGAGAAGGGGTAACCCTGAAACCTGCCAAGCTTCCTGCTGTCCAGTTATGTTCCCTGCAAGGGGTCAGTGGCCAGGGGTTTTCCCTAGAGGAGAAGGGGGACATAAGTCTGACTCCAGGGGGCCTGGGTGGCTATGGGCAGATGGCCATGAATCCTGAGCACTGCTGGCTGAGGGCTGTCCATGCTTTCACCCCATGGAGCAAGCTTGGAGGGCAGCATGCAGCTCAGCCCATGGAACAGAGACTCCACTCCTGCTCCTGGCTCTCAGACCTCTTGGGAAGAGCTGTGGCTGCTGTTCCCACTGTTGCAGTGACAGTGGGGCAGGGTGTATGATGGTCGTCCCCTATGCCAGCCAACAGTGAGCAGAAACCCTCCTCAGCAGGCACAGGCTGAAATGTTTTTGCCCTGTCGTGCCCTGTTCTTGCATAGCAGGGACCAAGCCTAGCAGTGGTCCTATTGTGCCAGAGCTCAGGTTGTCCCAGCAGTGGTGAAGTAGCTAAGTCACAGCAGCTGGCAGAATAAACCCAAAGTTTTTGGTCTCACACCAGCTGCTCATGAATTGCCAAGCAGTTTCAGTATCTCATTGCCTTTACTGCCCTGCAGCAAGAGAGAGCAAGTTGTTGGCCTAGGCTGGAGTCAGACAAAATGTGTGTCATTGGAATTGATGGCTGTAACCCCAAGAACACTGGCAGTGGCAGTGAGAGGACCAAGCCAGCAGGGGCTGTTATATGCTGGGACACCTGTGTCCCAGGAGCTCTGCCTCTGCCTGTTCTGGGACAGGATGCCTTGGTCTGTGTCTGGAGCATTTGTGCATATACCACCTTAGTATGCACCTCATGTCTTGGGGTCAGAGCTCCCCAAATGCAAATGGCCTGGATGTATGATTGACATTTTCTTGGGGAGAAGAGCAACCGTTTTCCTTCTGTATGTGTGAATCTGCTGTTACCGTGCATGTGCCCAGGTAAGTGTGCATCCAGGCAGAGGCTGTCTGGGACGCCTGGATCCTTGGAGCCTTCCTGGCTGCTGCTGCAGGGCTGTGTTTATTCTGTCTGTCTGTGTGCCTTGCAGGCTCTGAAAAGGAAGCCAGACCTCTTCCTGTGCAGCAACCTGGATGTCAAGGCAGTATTTCAGTGTGGTGAGTACTGTGGGCACATGGTACACACAGGCACCTGCTCACCATTCCTGTGCAGAGTCCATCTTGCTGCTTCTGCAGCTCTGTGAACACAGCAGCCAGGGACTGGGGACTGGTGCTGGTTTGGAATGGTGTCTGAGAGCTCTGGCCACTCACCTGAGTGCTTTGTATCTGCAGGTGTCCTTTCCCTCAAGTTCCCTGAAGCCCCAACAGTGAAAGCATCCTGTGGCTTCTTTGTGAGTATCGTGGCTTCCTCAGATGCATTGGGACTGCATATCGTAGGGATGCAGAGGGGCTACAGCCCACCAAGCAGAGCAGGAGCAGGGCTGCAAGCTGCACAGGGGAGCAGCTGTGCAGTGCTTTGGCACTGACTGGGTTGGATGCTGTGTTGCAGACAGAGCTGCTGCCACGCTGTGGGGAGATCGCCCCCGTTGGACAGGTGGTACATGAGAATGGCAAAGTGCTGCTGCAGGCAGTACTGGAGGTGAGTGGTGCTGGCATGGGTGGGTGCACTGGGGGTGATGCTGGGGCAGCAAGCACTGAGCTCAGCTCAGTCCCCTGGTGCATGGTTTATCAGGATCTTCTACTCTGCACAGGGTGTCGGTGGCCAGGCCTCTCGCAGCCTCATGGATCACTTTGCAGAAATCCTCTTTGCCTTGAACAAGCATTGCTTCAGCTACCTAAGCATCTGGATCAAGGAGGCCATGCAGCAGGATGGTTTTCCCTCAGCCCGCGTCAGCCCTGAGCAGAAAGAGACCTTCAGCCAGCAGATCCTTAGGTTGGTGTCCCCAGTGCTGTGCTGTAGCAGCTGTATCCTGCACTGCTGTCCCTCCCACCTGCCTCACATCTGTCCCCTCCCTCTGTGTTAGCAGAGAGCGTGTGAACAAGCGGCGAGTGAAGGAGATGGTGAAGGAGTTCACGCTGCTGTGCCGAGGGCTGCATGGCACAGAGTACACAGCAGACTACTGAGCACCCAACCAGGAATGCGGACGGTTTGCCTGGACCAGCTCTTCCCCACCAGGAAGCCCCCGTCTTCCCTGCCCTGCTGCTGCAGTACAGCTCGTAGAATAACCTTCCACCTAGAATTAACCTACTCGGGACGCTCCTCAGCTAGACTTGGTGGCCGCATCTCGGTGTCAGCATCTTTGTTCCCCCAGCATGCTCCCCCCTCACAGGGGATGGGAATGCCGGCTGCAGGAGGTGGGGAGGGGGAGCCCAGAACAGGACTGCCCCAGCACAGACTGCCCTTTGCTGCACTGCAGCCAGGCTGCCCACTCTTCCCCAGCACGGCCCTGTGGAGGGGAGGCTGCACAGCAGGGACTGGCTGGGCAGGTGGGCTTGCCCCCTGCTCATTTGTATGTGTGAGGTTGGGAGGGGGGAGGCCCCACACCTAATTATATTAAGGATATTTCTATGCTGTGGCTGTCATCACTGTTGTTAACTGCACTGGGGGAAGAGCCGAGCTGAGGGTGTGGGGTGGTTACATCAAGGTTGATATGCCTCACAAGCTCCTGTTCCCCTCTGGCTTGGGCAGGGATGGCAAAAACTGGGAGTCTCTATTGTGTGCCATGCTCTGCTGTCCAGCATGGAGCAGCTCTGGGTCATGCTCCTGCTGGGGAACTGCATCCCCTCTACGCATTGAGGGGCCTTCTGGCAGCACAGAGGATGTGCGTGCCCTTCTCCTGCTCATAAGTGTAAGGGAGGGCTTGCCCACATTCAGAGCCTCTGCCCATTTTAGTTTCCTGTTCTTTTAGGCTGGCTTTGGCTAGCCTGTAAGGCTGCAATCCCAAGGTGAGCCTTGTGATATGTTTTTGCTCTGGGATTCCAGCTATCACCTCTGTACATCCCCTTCAGTCTGCACTTTATTACTTTATTCTAGAAGACAATTCACTCGCAACTCCTTCTCAGTTCAGCTTTAGTTAAAACCAGTAACCTATACAAGCCCCCAGTACCAGTATCAGCTCACATGAAGCTGTGACCTCTCCTTGTAGGGACAAAGCTCCTACTGCCCAGACAATGTGCAGAGCCTTTGTTAGCCAGAGTTGGACCAAGCTCCTTGTTCTTCCTGACCCTGTTGCTTGTCCTGGGTGCAAGCATGTAAAACCCCTGTACCTCCTGCTCTCCCCCTGTAGTCCATATCCAGCGCAGGGCCAGACAGCAGCAGCTCCTCATCCTATTTGGAGCCAGCTATGGACCGTTGTGAGACGTTTTCAGGTCTAACGTAAACAGCATGCAGGCTCCTACACATCCTCTGCTCCTGGCTGATAGCCAACGTTACTGCCACATCATGACTGTTCACGGCCCTCATCCTCATAGGCAATGGCAATCCCTCGCCGGCCCTGCACGGCCTTAGAGACAGTCGTCTTCCCCAGCTGCTGCTCCAGGCCCCGCCAGCTGCGGGACTCCAGGAAGGTGGCTGTGAGGACAGAAGAAGGGGGAATTGTTTCTGGGGAGCAGGGAGGTGGCACTTCCCCCTACGCAAGCACTCAGCCCCACCACAACACCAAACAAACCTGCAGGGCTGATCTCTGCCAGGGCCCGCGTTTGGTCCCTGCAGGCCAGAGTGGTGCTGGGGGGTGGCTGGGGAGCCAGGGAGTTGCAGAGGTGGGCAGCACGCATCTCCCCTGTGATTAGCGAGACATCAGGAACGGCCTCTGCTGCAGGCACTGCCGGCGGGAGCTCAATGTGGGCACAGGCACCTGCCAGGAAAAGACAATGTCAGACTGCTGCTTGCATCTATCCTTCCCCAGTGCCAAGTGAAGGCAACCAAAGCCTCCTGGCAGAGGGAGACACTTCCCAGAAGGGTATTGACAGCTGAATTTCAGCTGTTACCTGGCAGCAGGTCTCGGAAGTCAGTGAAGTAGTTCCCTGTCCATTCCCGGGCTGGGTTACAGGCAAGCTCCAGCTCATAGGGGGTCACTATGGGCCGGTAGAAGTCACTGGAGTCCAGCAGGGAGTTCTGAGCACAGGCCACCAGCACAAAGATGTCCACCTCCAGGAAGTTAGCCAGCTTAGCAGGGTTGGGCTTCCCCACAGACAGCGTGTAGCTGCGCTTACCAGCCCTGTGCACAAGCTGGCGGAGGTGCTGCAGCACATCAAGGTAACCTGCCACACCCAGGGTGCCCACCAGGATGCCCACCACACGGGCATCCCGTGCCCGCTCCACTAGGTAGAGGCGCCGCATCAGCGCCCGGTTGACGTTGAGGGTCTCACGGCGGCCTTGCCCGGTGACAGGGTCAAAGGAGCTGAAGGGGCAGCAGTTCCACGTCAACATGAAGCTGGTGAGGGCCAGGCCCTCGGCTCCCACATAGAACATGGAACAGTCTTGCAGCTCTTCTGCTGCCTCCATGTGGAATTGGCGGCCAAACTGCCTCACCTCCCCAGGCAGTGTGGGGCCGGGGAGGTCCCCGCACACCACCTGGGAGAAGATGATGTTGGGGTACTCGTGGCACAGCTGCTTTTCCAACTCACCTAATGAGAGAGAAAAGCAAGAATGAAACGTAAGCACCAATTTGTCAGGCAGGACTGGGGGTGAGGAGAGGGCAGAAATGATGGCAGATGGTACCTGGGAGTACTCTCAGAACTCTCCCTTCCTCCCACACAGCACTCACCCATGGCGTGGGCGTACACCACATCGCTCAGCACCACCACACGGCTGTGCCGCTCAGGATAGAGCTCCCGGAAGACTTCAGCGCAGCGCCCAACATCTAAGGGCTGCCGCCCAAAGACGTGCAGCACCGGCAGCTTTCTGCAGGGGCTGAGGCAGGCAGGGCCGTAGTGCACCACGGCCCCGGCGCTCGCGTGCTCGGCGGCCACCTCGTCCACGCAGCAGCTGCGGGGAGACCCAGAGGCGTCGCTGGGGGACACTGAGCACCCACCGAGGGGCGCTGTGGGGGATCTCCTCCCCGTGACACCCACCTGCCGTACGTGGTGTCCCCCAGCACGTACATCTCGGCTCCCGTCGCCTCCTCCATCCGGGCCGCCACGGCCGCCGCATCCGCCAGCAGCGCATCGGGGAACTGCAGGGCGACCTGAGGGGGGAACGGGGTGAGAAGCCGAGGAGAGGCGGCTCGCGGCCCCCGCCCCGCCGCCTCCACACACCTTACGGAAGCCGCCGTCCCGCACGAAGGCGACGGCGCGGTCCATCTCGTAAAATTCATCTTTGTCTCCCCGCGGGAACGCTGCCGCCGGGTCCAGCGTCCGCCGCAGCACGGCCTCCCCGTCGGAGCTGAAGGCCGCCGCCATATTGCGGGACGCTTACTCCCGCTCCCAACGTGCGGCGCGTAGCCGGCCAATAGGAAGCCGGCACCGCCCCTCTCAGTTTCCGGAAATCCCGCCCCCAACGGAGAGCAGCCAACCGCTCTTAGCGATGGGACGCAGGGAGGGAAGGGCAGTCAATGGGAAGAGGTGCCCGTCGCGATGCCTCCTGGTCTCTGTAGTTCCTTTGAAGCTGTCAGGGTGAGCAGCCAATCAGCGAGCGCGGAGGCATCACGTGCTTTCCGCCGGGGCGCTGCGGTTCCGCTCCCGTGTGCGGCGCGGGTCAGGTGACGCGCTCGGTCCCGGCCGGTGCCGCTCGGTTTCGCTCCGCGCCGCCGCCGCCATGACGGGGCTCGCGCTGCTGTACTCCGGGCTGGGCCTGGCCTTCTGGACGACGCTGCTGGGCATTGGTGAGCTGCGGGGCTGGCGGTCTCGGTGGCCGCGGGGCGCTGGGGATGGAGGCGAACGCTCCCTGCGCACGGGCAGCCCCAGAACGGGAGCGCCCTGTGCTGTGCGGGGCCCGGAGCCGCGCGTTGTGTCAGGGCTTTTCAGGGGGAGGCCAAGCAGGGAGCTGCGGGTGTTGCGCCCTCGCAGTGCCGCAGCCTGCGGAGCCCGGGGCCGCCGAGGGGCTCCCCGTCCCCGTTGCGAGGCCTTTGCTAGGGAAGGACCGTGCTGCGCTGCTGCTGTTTGCTGCAAGGCTGCGGAGCCGGCAGCCAGAGCTCGCAGGAAAGTCTTCTTCACCCTTGTATGAGAGCCTAAGGCCGCATGTGCTGCTGGGCAACTGGAGGGTGCCCCGTGGATCCGCCCTGAGCTGGCTGCAGCTTCTCTCTGCCACCCGGGCACGGGGCAGCTGGAGCTGACTGTGTTTGATTCCTGCACTGTGAGCTGAGCAGTGAACCCATAACACAAACAAGCGCCCTGGCAGCACTGAGGTCCTGAAGGCTGCAGGCATGCAACAGGGTGCGGCCTTGCTCCTTGGCTATGGCACTGTTCCTCATTTCTGTGTGCTCCCCGGGTGGGAGCAGTGAGCAGCAACGTTACCACTTCCTATTTTGGGTCGGCTTGACCTCCTGGTGTCTGTTAACCAGCTATCTGACATGGTGCAGCAGTGCCCTGCTGCCTGCACTTATCTTTTCCATAGGGCCAAGTCATAGCCTCTTTTCTAGCTAAGCACTGTGTAAAGAGAAAATCTCTCTTCTAGCTTGCAGCTGCATTTCCCACTTGGTTTTAGAGCATGCCAAGTTTGGTGTGAGTGCCTTGGTGTGCGCTCAGGGCTGCCAGTTGAAGCTACCCACCATGGTTCACTGCAGGAGAGAGTCCTGTGTTGAAGCCTGTGGGTCAGTGTGCAAACTTCCCTGGAAGTAGCTGGCCCTGGAGGAAACTGGTCACAGTGTATGTTTCCATCGTCTCAGCTGTGGAAAAATGGGAGTGGAGAGGCAGCCACAGCTTCTGTCACTGATGGAGCAGCATGTGATGATGGGTCAGGGCACAGCCCCGTTCCTCATCCATGCTGTGAGACAAAGCAGAGCTCACAGTGCAGTGCTGTGGCTCCTGGCAGGGCTGAGCCCTTGGATGATGGAGGTGAAACATGCTGGGGTACAGGGCCACTTTAGGACACCACACGTCCAAAGCATTCCCTCAGAAGTCCCCTTGTGTGCCATGCTCTTCACCTCTGCCTGGGCTGTGTGAGCTATAGGGCTCCAGTGCGTGGGGGAACAGTGGCAACGTCAGGCTGGTGCCTGCCTGCAGGTTCTCATGTCACTCTTGCTTTCCAGGGATCTGCTACACAATATTTGACTTGGGCTTCCGCTTCGATGTGGCCTGGTGAGTTGCCTGAAAATACTGGCATCCTCCCTGCCAAGCGCAGGATAGATGCAACCCATATGCATGGCTGGTTCCATGTGGGGTCCTGGTGCAGCCATTTCTGCCCTCCCACCATTATGCCTGCCCAATTTCTCCTAGCCCTGATTTCCCCATCGTGGTGAGGGTTTGGGAGGAAAGTCTCAATCCCGGGTCACTGGCTGGCAGAGAGAGGCTTTCATGTCTTACAGTCTGACAGTGACCAACCCATCCTGGGCTGCATGGTGAGCACGATGGGCTGGCTGGTACCTGTTGTGGGGCAGTGTGATATGGGATTCTGCCTGTGTGTTAATACAGAGTGCTTCTTCCTGCCCAGGTTCCTGACGGAGACCTCACCTTACATGTGGTCCAACCTGGGCATTGGCCTGGCCATTTCCTTGTCTGTGGTGGGCGCTGCCTGGTGAGTGGGACTGGCTCTTCAGCAGGCTCCTGTGCTTTGCTGCAACAGAGCAGGGGAAGCACGGTGTGTGTACACAGGGCTGTGGGACTGTATGCATTGCTAAAGTGGGGCTGGGCTACTGGGCTCCAGAGAGCTCTAAACAGACCACCTTGCAGGATACAAGGGTGATACAGAGTCAGGGACATCCCATTCTTACCAGAGACTGTGCCCATGAGCCCAGCTGTTCTGCTGGCGTAGGTGGCAGTGCTTGTGGTTTCTAGGGCCCTAAGGGAGAGCAGGCTGAGCCGCAGTGTCTCACAGATGCATGCTCAACTCTTTGCTCAACTGGAAGATCCTATTGAGCCCTTCAGTGAGTACCAGACCCTCCACCAACTACCCTTGTCTGTCACAGGGGGATTTACATCACAGGCTCCAGCATCATCGGTGGTGGAGTCAAAGCCCCTCGGATCAAAACCAAGAACCTAGTCAGGTAAGTGCACATCTGGAGTTGATGCTGTGCCTGGGCAGGGTAGGTCCCAGTGTGGTGTGGAGGCTGCTGTCCTGTCTCTCACTGGGTGCTGCTGACAGGCTGTTCCTTGCTGCTGCTGCTGTTTGCTTTCAAAACAAAGAGCTCTAAAGGAGCCAGAGTACTGCTTGGAAGGGTCACAAGTGGTATGATATCATGCAGTGAATGAGTTCAGTGTGTTCAAAACAAACACCCTGAGATTACACATCCTGCCCTAGGCAAGGGCTCCCCAGGGCAGGCCTTACACAGCCCTTCCCAGAAGGAGCTGGCATAGGGGAGGGCTCCCTGGATTTGCTTCCCATGGGGCTCTCATGGGTTTTTAGGTGATGCAGGATAACCAGCAACCAGCCTTCATCATGCTTAGCAGCTCTCCTTTGAGAGGAAAAGTGATGGTGGGTGTGCTGGGCTGCTCTTCTGCCCCTGGCAGCAGTGGGGCAGGCACAGACGGGGCTGTGGAGGAATCTGGCTGCTGGTTGGCTGGGCATGGATTGTTATGGGCTGCTCCAGGACACTGGTCAGATATTGCCTTTCTTCTACAGCATCATTTTCTGCGAGGCTGTGGCCATCTATGGGATCATCATGGCAATCGTCATCAGTAACATGGCTGAGGTACGGGAGGACTTGGGCTGCCAGCACTGGCCTCAAGGCCGTGGTTGGATGTGCAGCTACGCATGGGCTTGCAGTGTGGGAATTTTGGATGCTATTGTAGCTCTGGAAGCTCCTTGTTAGGGTTCTGTGTTGTGGCTCTTGTTCAGATTAAAGAGTTATACTGGGAGGGCATACAGCAGGGATTGTGGAGCCACCTGAGAACATGAAGCTGGGGATGAGCTGTGGCCATCCTGTGGCCTTGAGCTGAATCGGGGACAGGTACCTGGGACCTGGGTACCTGGGTACCTGGGTACCTGGGACTTGCTGCTAACCCAGGCCATGTGCTTTTCTCAGCCTTTCTCTGGAGTCACCCCAGAGACGATTGGAGCCAAGAACTACCATGCAGGTAAGGACTGCTCAGTCCCTGGTAATGCTGCTGTGAATGCCACCTCCCTCCGATCGTAACTTGTTTTGTTCCCTCTGCCCCTGGGAGCAAGATTGCAGGATCCAGCTTACCTGGCTGATGGCCAGGGCTGTCAGGCTCCATCCAAACTGAGCCCTTCAGCTGTGTCTGAATGATGTATCAGTGTCCTTCCTGTTGCTTTGGACAGCAAGCACAGCTCCTCTGCGGAAAAAGTGGCTTTAGTTACTTTCTCAGAGCAGCAGCCAGCAGTACCCCAGTTGTTGTCATCCCCTGCTCTGGTGCAATGGGAGCCTGGATGCACTGTGCTCCCAAAAGGAAGAAGCTGCTGGTGATCAGCAGTGTTGTTTTTTCCATTGTCTCTGTACAGAGCTGCCACATTGCTGCCTACCATGGGTGCAGGTGGAAAGGGATTACCCCCTGATCTTGCAAGTGTTCCTCTTTCACAGGTTTCTCCATGTTTGGGGCTGGCCTGACTGTGGGGTTTTCCAATCTCTTCTGCGGAGTGTGTGTGGGTATCGTGGGCAGCGGGGCTGCCCTCGCTGATGCCCAGAATGCCAGCCTCTTTGTCAAGATCCTGATCGTGGAGATCTTTGGCAGTGCCATAGGGCTGTTCGGGGTCATCGTTGCTATCCTGCAGGTACCTGCCTCTTGGGGTCATTAGGTGTATGTGAGCACAAGGCACCTGCCATGCTGAGTGCTCTGTAGTTCCAGGTAGACGCACCTGAGCTCCAGCTCAGGTGTGCATTGTGAGGTTTGGGGTTGTACAACTATCTCCACAAGGTGCTATGCCTTTAAGGCTCCTTTAAGCAACACCAAGGATGTCAGCTTGGGTGCACCCTGTGCTATGTTCACATCTTATTGGTGCAGCTGCCTGCAGCTTTTGGACTGTCCCAGGGTGCTTGGGGATTGCTAGACTGAGAGGGATTGGGGTGCTGGGCTGGAGTATGTGGGGCCTGGCCTAACCTCTCTTCTTTCTTTCTAGACATCTAAAGTAAAAATGGGCAATTGAGCCCTGTTCCACCCAGCCTGTTCCAGCTCGCCCCAAGAGGTGCTGTATATACTTATTTAACGTTTCTATCCTTGGTTGGGGCGGAAGCTGCCCAGGAGCGGGGGCCTGGCTATGGAGCCCCATCCCGCTGATTGGCCCCTTGGAAGAAACAAGTATCCTGTGTGAATTCTGCCCCAGCAGCCTGGCCCGGCAGGGCCGTGCTGCTGCGTGTCCCCGGTGTGCGTAGAATCGATCACCAGTGCAATTCTGTGTCCGTGAAATAAATATGGTTCTTGTCCA